CATCAGGGGACCTTCCCCCCCCCCCCCCCCCCAATTGCACGTATGCAAATTTTCTGCCCTTTCCGCCTCGTATCATTCGAGTGAGAACCGTCGTTCGAATTAGGAACAACCGGGGATTGTATGAGGTAGAAATTTTGAGGGATGGAGCTCGATTGGAGAGGCCCTCCCCGCGGATCGGCCGGGCAGCGAGGTCCGCGATCGAGTTTCCTTTCGGGTGCAGGGGAATAGGCGATGAGAGGGGCCATTACGTCGCTTGCAGGGTGTGATGGACGCCTTGTTCCGCTCGACGCGATCGTGTCGTTAAATGACGTCACTCTCGGGGGAGCGGCTGTCAAGCGGAACGTATTGAAATATGAGAGAACCGAACAGGAAGGAAATGTGACGTCATGGGATAGCCGGGAGCGTCAGCAGAGCCGCTTAGAGAAAGGACGAACCCAAAGGCCCCCCGAGACCCGTAGAGGCCTCGGCGGTTAAGCGGGCTGCGGGCCGGCCCGATCGGCCCGACGCGACTCGTGGATGGGCTCCGCAGAGCATCAGAGGATCCCCGGCATCGAGGAGGTTCGTGAATGAGCGCGTTTGCAGGATGACGTCACAAGGATGGGTATATAAGGGGCCGCAGAGACTCCTGCACCTAACTTTTCCTTCAGTGGTCGAGGCAGAAGGGCTTCGCACTTCGCTCCCTCCTCGCTGTCCTAACGTACACAGCCTTCCCTTGCGCTAAGCTGGTTTCCTAGCTCTCCTACCATATGCCTGTGCTTTCTAATTCATAGATATTCCCTCGTAGTTTCTTAGCTCGCTATTTCTTCTCACTGGCGTTTGTTTAATTTTGTAGGGTAGGAATAACTGCACGTATCGTGACAGTAAGTTTGAATCATGAGTAAAGGAATTGGAAAACTTGCGCTGTTTCTGATTGCGGGCTTTCTATCGTAACAGCAGAATGGAGAACTAGGGATTTCATGCCTTCCCAAATTCTCATGAAAGAAGAAGAGAATTGATGAAAGCTTTGGGTGTCCATTCGATACCGAAGCGCACGTCTCCTCGCGCCGCTTCCTGAAGGACTGCTATCATGCAGGAAATCTGATGAGAGAGAAGCGACGAGAAGTGTCTCTTTGCTTTCCTGGGGTTCCATGCTTTATATGACGTCATCATCGAAATGGATGATGCAGGATCTCGCTTTCGGGCCAGCTCCAAACTCACTGATGCAATGATTCGTGAGGGTCAATCGAACAGTTAAAACGATGAAAAATGAAAAATGAAGTCACTGAATCAGCAAGCAAACAGAGAATTGGGCGAACACGATGGACACTCAAAAGCCCGGCTGTTGCAGAAACTGCTCAAGGAAAGGATTTGTCTCTTTAAATTGGGATTTGCCCTTCCCAAGGAAGAGAAAAGGAAATTTCCAAGGAAATTAGACGAGGCAACGTTCGTTTAAAGTGCAGCGTTCGTCGTCACTCAGAAATCCCTCTGACTCTCCCCACCATCCGCTTAGCTCATCGAGTCTAAATGAGCAGAGTAACCTCTGAATTTTTTACAGGAGTTCGGCCTTCACCTCATTTCCTTTAATATCTCTAGACAGAAGCACCAATTGTTTAGGGGTCTCCTTTTCCCTATGACATGGCTTGTACTAGAAAAAAAGTGCCTAACTTGTTTGGTCTGAAGCCCTGGTCCTCTGTCACGAGAGTCAAAGAAGCTACAGCTTCCTTGGTGTCCCTTGGCATGCCAACCGAGCCCCTCTCCCCCGTTTAAGAGAGACTCTCCTCTGCGACGTCGCCGGAATGCGATTTCCCAGACTCGTCTCCCGCCTTATATTTAGTAAACTTGGTAGGACCGCGATTCGGATTGGGTCTATGGGGTCGGGTTTGGAAAAGCTCAGACAAACGTCAGCTATCATTATATTGAGTTTGGTTAGTTTTGCCTGTCAAAGCATAGTTCTACCGTCTTTGATGTTCCTGCATCACTTTGACACAATGATTGCTCAGAGGTCAATCTGACTCAACCAGTCGGAAAGCCGTGTACACATGTGGTGTTTAGATGGTGAATTTCAATTATGCAGGAACATAAGGTCTTGCTTATATATGTACTACTTGGAACTACCCATTCAACCCGTAATGATGACGTCATCTTAGGCACGCATGAAATATCAATATTTTCAAAGTGACTAAAAATAACGGACATCCACGCAGCACGCTGTTGAGTCAACGTTGACTCGGAGCGGGGGAGCATGGGCGGGCATAGCAGTAGATTTCCCATGTTGGCCCTTCATTGGCGCAAATGCGGCACCCAACAGATGCGGCATCAGTGATTACGCCATCTGCCTCAGTCGTTCCAGCAAGCAAGGTTCCTACGGATGAAGCGAGATGGCGCCAAGAAAACCTCTCGCAGGAAGAGACGGGAATACCATATTCCTATGACCTTATTAAGGGAAGGTAGGAGGAAAAAGTAAGGAATGGATGATGTTGCCCCACCGACTCTTCCAATCCCAACGCGGCCGTCAGAAACGAGCAGAGAATTAAATCCTTCGGAATCCCCACGGAAGATCGTTCCTGATTTTGCAATGACAGGACGAAGTGGGGAATTGCGGGTAAGCGACGAGTCGCATTGAGACACACGAAGCCGGTTTGATGTACAATCGGGACTTGGGAATGCTCCATAAATATTTCCATGATCGATGCTCGCCCTCTAGGAAATTCGTTGCTCCGAGTTAAAGGATCACAATTGCAAGCCTGAACATTTTTCCGTCTGAGAAGGATTCCGCGAACGGCCCAACCCGCTCTGCGAATGCTTTTCCCAATTCCTTTCCTGCCTGGTCTGGCGATGAGAAGCCTGGCACTTTCAGCGCTTCTTTTCCCCATATCTCGGCTGCGAGCTCCCTGTTGGCATTGTTCCTCGATATGGAAATTTCCTATTGTCTGCGGGAGAAGAGAAGGAAAATGGAAATCTCGAAGAGATGATGCGTCTTGATGCATGCACTTCTACACGGCACCCGCACGGGAGTTCCAAATAAACACTTGATATATGTCATCAAACATGGCAATATATAGACTCCTCATTTAAAATATACATGGCACAAATATGTCCCCATGTACCCAAATCATGTTTTGACCATATGAAGACCCTCGACTCCTTCTGGCCGAATTAGGCGCATACATATTTACATACGTCCAAATGCACCCTATAGATACGACTGTATTCGGTAACTCCGTAAGGGAAGAAAGGGCGAAAGGCTTCTCCGTTCCAAACGAGAGAGATTCTCGCAACAGATATTGAATCTCTAGCAGCGCTCGAGATGGGACGCCCCCGGCCTTCGAGGGAGCTGGATGGATCCTCTTTTTTTCGTCTTTTTTGCCCTTTTTTTTCCCTGCCTCCTTGAAGGCTTTCCTCATATCCGTGGAGGTCATTAGGCACTGTGAAGCGGGAAGTCGTTCCGCGTCCGAGAGGCGACGCCGTGGAAACGGTCGTTCGAGTCTGAA